GTTCATTTATTTTGTTCTTTATAGGATAGATATAAGTAAAATCATATGGTGCTTGTCTTTCTTTGATTGGATCTTTTCACTTAGCATAATAGTCTCCAGGTTCATCCATGCTGTCTAAAGGGAACTTAATAGCTATACAAGCCTACCTCACAAAACAAGAAAAATCCCAAAGTAAAAAATATAACTTTACCTTATAAAAGTAGAAATCAAGCCCAACTGGTGTGGCTGGATGGTTGAGAGTCAAACCATTAACTAGGAGTTCATGGTTCGATTCCTGATCAGGGTACACGCCCAGGTTGCTGGCTTGATTCCCAGTAGGGGGATGCAGGAGACAGCTGATTGATGATTCTCTCTCATCGTTGATGGAAACAGCAATTCTACTTCTGGGTATTTGCCTGAAGAGAACAAAATATCTAATTTAAAAGATATGTGCTTCTCTATGTTAATCACAGCATTGTTTCTAACAGACAATAAACCTATGTTTTCATCTATAGATAAATGGAAAAAGAAGATGTGCTATATATATGGAATATAACACAACAATAAAAAAGAATGAAACCTTGCTATTTGAGAAAATGTGGATGGACATAGAGGGCATTATGCTAAGTGAAATAAGTCAGAAAAAGACTAATACTCTATAGTTTCACTTATGTGTGGAATCTATAAAAACAAAACAGGCGAGTAAACGAAACAAAACAAAATAAAAACAGACTCATATAAACAGATCAAACTAATGGTTGCCAGAGGGGATGAGAGTGGGGTACAGGTGAAAAGGTTAAAGGGGAAAATAATCAATAATCCTCTATAAAAAAAAGGGTAATATGCAAATTGTCACCTTGACTGAGAGTTTGACCGGGAGTTCAACCAGGGGGCAGGGCTGGCCTACCAATCACCAGCAGCCCCTCCCCCCAGACGGCTCCCCCACCTTGATCGGAGGCTCAAATTACAATACATATAGTAACAAAAAATCCTGCTTTCTATATTTCAAAAAAGTCTTCGAGTCCAATTTTTCTGGGATCTGATAATATGATATATTTTTTAAAATATATTTTATTGATTTTACAGAGAGGAAGGGAGAGGGAGAGAGAGCTAAAAACATTGTTGAGATGTCTATCAGCTGCCTCCTGCATGCCTCCTGTTGGGGATTGAGCCCACAACCAAAGTACATGCCCCTGACTGGAATCGAACCCTAGATCCTTCAGTCCATGGGCTGACACTTTATCCACTGAGCCAAACCATTTACGATGATATGACAGTTAAAACATCTACATCTTTTGATGTTGCCTATAAATATGGCAGGAGTTAGTATGCTAGCTCTCTGATTTTCAACAGCTTTACAGATGAAGACATTATAATCATTTTTGATCATGTAGTTCATATAGTAACTGCTTGGCTTTCAGGGCTAAGTTCAGCTGACAATTTGCTTGCATGTCATCTAACCAATTAATACAGATGGATTAAAAAATCTATTATGAGAAATACATAGAAGGAAAATATGGAAGTTTTAAGTGGCCTCTCCAAATAATATCCCACACAATTACTTCTTCATATAAAATTATTAATAATGAAATAAAAATCTATTAACAAAATTGCTGAGATGGTTATTATAAAACTAGAGGCCCAGTGCATAAAAATTCATGTACTTGAGGGGGGCCGGGGGGGCTCAGCCCAGCCTGCACCCTCTCGCAGTCTGGGAGCCCTTGGGGGATGTCCGACTGCCAGCTTAGGCCCGCTCCCCACTGGCAGTCAGACATCCTAGTGCTGCAGCGGAGGCAGGAGAGGCTCCTGCCACTGCCCCTGTGTTTGTCAGCTGTGAGCCTGGCTTCTGGATGAGCGGCGCTCCCCCTGTGGGAGCACACTGATCACCAGGGGGCAGCTCCTGCATTGAGCATCTGCCCCTTGGTGGTCAGTGCACATCATAGCAACCGGTCGTTCTGCCGTTGGGTCAATTTGCATATTAGCCTTTTATTATATAGGATAACCATACCATGAATGCAAGTTTTTCTAAATTGTGTTCCTTATTCATTTTCATTTTTTATTCTTAATTGATTAAAGTATTACATATGTCTCCTTTTCCCCCCATTGATCTCTTCCTGGACATTCCCACCTCAAATTGTGCTGCTATGAACATAGGGGTGCATATCTCCTTTATGATTGGTGTTTCTAATTTCTTGGGATATATTCCTAGAAGTAGGATTGCTGGGTCAAATGGGAGTTCCATTTTTAATTTTTTGAGGAAACTCCACACTGTTTTCCACAGTGGCTACACCAGTCTGCATTCCCACCAGCAGTGCACCAGGGTCCCTTTTCTCCACATCCTCAGGAGCACTTGTCGTTTGTTGATGATAGCCATTCTGACAGGTTTGAGATGGTACCTCATTATCGTTTTGATTTGCATCATTCCCATCACTGTATCTACACAGCACTGTTCTTTATTAAATTAAACCTAATTAAAAAAACTAAGGATCTGTCTCGGTAAAAACATTTAACAGATTTAAATATTTTATGTTAGAGCATAAAATTAGAGGTCACTGAAAAAAAGAAATTGCAAAACTTTCTTGTGATTTTGCTAATATCAAAATGTTCTACACATTCTGGTTTTGTTTAAAATTTAAAATGCTTTTGTATTGACAGAATATTGTCAATGTTTATTGTGCTGTCATGCTTTGTTTTCGAATTAAGTCTTAAAGTTTGTTTATATCAGGTGTTTTAACAAGAAGGCACTGTGTTATTATAATAAATTCATGTATCTTTGAATAGTAAAATAACTTTTGATCCATATGACATTGTGGGGGCACTTATAGTGGGGCAATACTTATAAGATATGTTTGTTTAGGAGGGTGCTCTTATATAGCCGGTATTATTATAATGACCCTCAAGCAAAGACAAATCGGAGGGAATCCGTCTTGGACCTTGATGTAGCTATCTCTCTCTCTCTCTCTCTCTCTCTCTCTCTCTCTCTCAACACACACACACACACACACACACACACACACACACACATACACATACACACATACACATATGTTAGGGTGGAAGCTGGAAACTATGGGATCTGATATTGGGAATTTGTTAACATGTATTTATGCTTTTTTAGTGCGTGTGTATTTCCCAATTGTTTTCCTTTAGCATATCTGAGGGAAGCTTACAGGTTTCCAAAAGACAACTGCGTTTTAAAGGATCAGAGCATACAAAGTGCATAGAGCACATATGGGGCTTAGGGATGATTATTGCAGTGATAATTCAAGCTAAAGATGCTTAAGGAATGGTAAATTCAGGGTGTCATGCTCAAGCCACTTGGTTAATACTCATTCCCATCTAGAAATTCTCCTACTGGGTTTAAATCTTGGAATTCTTAGATTTGGTTTTATTGAGTGAGGCATCTTCATTGCTTTGGGCATTCTTGACTTGACCCCACCTATTTTTGGAGGCTTGGTACTTTCCCATAGAGGTCCCAACATGCTTTTCTGGTTACTAACCAGCAGGTGGAGATTTGACTCCCCTAGTGTTCTCATGGGCAAACTGTCTCTTTTGCCAACCAGGAAACTTTTCCAAAGCAGAGTTCAAAAGGTTTGCTTCTACATTATATCTCTACTCCCACCCACTCCCACTTCAATACCCATACGGTTAGCACATAGAAACTTTTCAATAATTTTTAACTTATACCCTGAGAACTGAGAAGGGCTCCTGGTGGCTAAAAATAAACAAAAAAACAAACAAACAAGCAAAAAACCACACAAAAACAGCAAGAACAACAGCAAAAACCAGAGCCTAGCAGTCATTTCCACACAGGAGACACACATGCAAACTACACTTCAGGGAGAAGCCTGCACTTACTGGTGCGCCTGTGCACTGAACTTCCTGCTGCACTGTGTTGCTGCTATATGAGCCAGCCCTTATAAAGGAGTTCCTAGAGTCCTAGTCCAACCAATAGGACTGGGATTCCCCATTCAATAAGAGCTGCGCAGCTCCGGCAGAGTGGCTGTACTCTGTCCAATCAGGATATGCCTTTTGGATCTATCAAACTTTGAGGATTTGGCATCCTCATTTGCATGAGGATGAACCAATCAGGAGCCAGGGCCAGGGAGTTCCCTTCTTATAAGCCATCTCCCCTCTGGCTCTGAGGGGAGACTGCATTTCCCCAGCTGAAGACTGAAGACTGCATTTTCCCAGCTGAAACTGAAACATTGAAGATGGCTCACCAGACCAGAGCAGACCTGTGTGGAGTAGACAGAGTGGAGCAGAGCTGCTTAGCTGAATAGGGGCTGGCCCCAGGTTCACCTCACAGCCTGTTTTCACAGCTGTGCTGTAGCACTATTGAGCTGTTCCACAGTAGTGCTGTTTTCACAGCCATGCTTTAATCAATATTTGCACTGAATAAAGTTTTCTTTTACACCATACCCCAAATTGGGGATTCCCGTTGATGTTGAATTGGCACCAGCAATAATCAATTGACACTTATGGTAGGTACTATGGATCATAAATACCCACTGATGTAAGGAACAGCTCACCCCGTGCCAACCAGATCTACTCATATGAGAAGAGCTTGAGGCCATTGCTGGATCGCTCAGTTGGTTAGAGCATCCTTCCAATATGCCAAGGTTGTGGGTTTGATCCCAGTCAGGGCACATGCAGGAGTCAACCAATAAATGCATAAATAAGTGGAACAAAAAAAAATCAATGTTTCTCCCTTTCTCTCTCTCTCTCTCTCTCAAAAGTCAATAAAAAATAAAAAAGAAGAGCTTGGAAGTGTTTTAAACAAATATTTTTATTTACTGTGTGAACACATATATATTCTAATCTACTCCTACTTCCCATGCTCCCACCCCACTACACTATCCCCTACCCTGTGCTCCCTCCCCAACCCAACACAGAATCCAAATTCAAACATTAAATGAGGGTACAGAGGAATAGGGACATTAGTAGAGCATATTTAAAGCACAGTAACAAGAAAATAAGTAATGCAGGTATCCCTATTGGGATCACAAAATAATGTCGATTCTTCTATTGAACAAGGTGAGACTTCTCTCATTCTCCTTTGTCAGGATGTCCCATTGCAGTTTGTCAGTATCTTTGCAAGGAGCATTATTTTCTGTGCCATTTAAACACTGCTATTGCAGCTTGCATACAGAAAATGTGGCAAATTCACAGTGTTCTTCCCTGGGAGTCTTCAGTCTTGCAGTCCACACTACAACGACATATACACCATATATCTAGTGTGGGATAAAATTGTGCACATAGGATGTTTCCATCATTCCATAGAGCTTGTGAGCAAGGACAGAGCAGTGGAAAAGGCTGAAAAGCTGAAAGTCATTAAGATATCAAGTTCATTTTCATCTCATGGAGAGTCCAGTAAGCACTGATTAGGTAGGTGCTGGAGTAGATAATAAACTGCACTAACTACCTTATACAGTCTAAAAGATAATTTCCTTTCTTTCTTTCTTTACGGGTTATTTTATATTTATTATTTGCATTTAAAAGGATTTTTAAATATTAAACTTTCCTATTTGAGTTCCAAGTTACAGGTACAAAGGTCTTCACAAACACAACCTCTTGGTTAAAGCAACAAAAAGAGTATTCAGAGTTTCCCAACTATTAATGAAGGCTTTACACTACCTTGAGATCAGTATTTTGAGTGGGGAAATCCTCTACAGCAAAGGTCTTGTGGGTCAGCTTGATCTGTATATCTCTCCTGGATGTCATTTCGATCATTTCATAAAAATACTCAAACCAGTGACAACTTTATTTCTAGTAGGATAGAATCCCAAAAGAATAGCTAGATTTACTCCTTAATTTTAAATTCTGCTATAACATTTCAACTTGTCTAGCTAACATACACCTATTTACATAAATCTAAATATGGGCACTTTCTTCAGAATATGTATCTGTTATGTCAAGATACGCACTTCAAGCTAAAATCTACAGTTTTTCCTAGTACCCACCTTGGGCATCCAGATAATGCTGTTTCTTTCAGCATCAAGCTTTTCCTAGAATATAAAAAGTCTCCTTTCCAGTGTTTTGTTGTTTTTCAGAGCATCTACCCAATTCACCAGCATATTTACAAATGAAATCTGCAGTCTTATCCAGACCCCCTAACAGTTTCTAGTTTTTCAATGTGGGGAAAAACATTGACAACAAACACGTTGAAAAACACCAAAAGGTCTTAACTTTGAGAATCACAAAGTCATAATCACATATAAAATAGTTCTATTATTATTACAAGGACAGGAAGGTTGAACTAGACACAGAAAACTCTGAACAAGAGTTATCAGAATAAACTTTACCCCCACTCTCAAACTATCCAGACTGGCTCCATCTCCTTTCCTTCCTCACATGGCCTGAAGGATGACAGTGTCCATCAATGAGGCTTTGTCTCATAGTCTAGAGATGTCAACAGCCTTCAGCAATGGCAAAGAAGGAAGCAGATGGTCCAGATTTGTAATTATGATTCTTGGTAGTCACTTGCTGATATTAAGGCATGTAACTTTCCTGGAGCATAGGTAACACCCAAGCTTAAAAAGTTCCTCGCAAAGTAGGCAAAGGGACTTCAGCCTTCTGTTCTTCCTGCATTATATATGCTAACAAGAGTTTGAGCCCACAGATCTCATTGTCTTTATGAATTCCTCATTGTATTAGAAAATTACAACTTAGGCATTTAATCTTTTCTTTCCTGGCATGGGTCAGCAAGATTCTTTTTATGGTAAGGGTTTCTTGAAGCTCTATGTGTACCTTTTTTTTTTGTCTGTGTATAGTGTATATTCTGTGTACATTTTGTAATTTATATGTGCATAAATTGTTTATGCTCATGTGTATTCAAGTTCCTACTTCCAATTTAAGGGTTTGCTTTTATGTGTGTTTAAGCATAAAATTAAGTATATTTTCTTTTGAATAATAAATATCCAATTGGTATTATTATATGCATTTGCTAGTAGGACATTTACCATGTTATAAGCTAGAAGTGTGAGTGCTACCCAGATTTTAATAACATAGTGTCAGCATCTACAACAATGTACAAAATAGTAATCTAATCACCCAGAAAAATGATGATGGTTTTGAAAAGATCACAGAGTTCATTTACTCAAACAGATAATTGACTGAAAGGGTGACTAAAAATTAAAATTTAGATTTGGAATATGCATTATGAAAGGATTTGGCCACGTTTATTTTAAAATATAATAAGTCTTTGTGTACATTTTTTCTGTATGTATACGCATATATGTAATCTTATATATGTGGGTGTATTCCTGTGTTCACATATGTGCATGTGTGTAGGTGTGTATAGGTGTATGTGTGAGTTTATGTATATGTGTGAATGCATGCATATGTGTGAGTGAGTATATGTATGACAACACACAAAGATAAGTACAGGATGAGAGGGAATTTTCAATGAAAAAGGCCTTCAGTTCAGAATATCTAAGAGTGAATCTATGTTATACATATACAAATAAGTAACATTTAAAATTGACTACCAGCATCTCAGATATATGTGTCAGGAGATAAATTCCTCTAGTCCAAACATAACCAGTGAGGTGTGGCATTGGAACAGCTTCATATAAATCTTAGTTTCATCAAAGCATTTCTTTAAATGTCTTGGATTAGACCACAGTACGGTTTCATGGCCTTGGACAAAGGCTTGTATGTACGAAAAAGGATAATTTGGCAACTTCTCCCATCCATCATTGCTGTTCAACTATACATTTCAAAAAATGGTGTCCTTCTGACAAGAAGGTGATACTGCTAAAACACTATCAGTAGTTAATACACTTTAAACTGTTTCTCAGAAGTGAAAATGAATTTTGCAGGGCTATTCAAACAGTTTTGCTGGGTCTTCCAGATGGCTGATAACCCATGTTCAGAAAAAGGCTGGCCAGGGTGAGTGGTGCAGTCTGTAAACAGACACATATGGGGTTTTGAAACCACAATCCCATAGTTCTTTAGCACCATGCTCAAACCCACAAAGCTAAATGGCTGCACATGGGTTAGAGCCTACGACCTAGTACTCATTAGCACCATATTCCAATTAAATAAGTTCCCCTCAGCCAGAAGCTACTTACAATGGTAGCACCCCCAGACTTGGCTGGGTGTTGAGTTCAGATTAGTTGCTGCTGAAAAGAATCTAAGCAAACCCCACAAAAAATTCAAACTACCAAGGGGCCCAATTCTTCAAGCATCATGTATATCACCAAAGCTGATGGGTAGGGAAATTTGAGGCAGCAAGCTGGATCATCTGTCAAGCATGGAACATCCCAGATATTCAGCTTTACTGAAGTGTGTGTGGGGGAGTGTCTGATTCTTTGGAGGATAAAGGTGGGAATAGGGAGGAGTGTTCCTGGAAAGGAGAGCACTAAGTGAACATACAATAGCACAGTAGTCATTTAAATTATAATGACAACTCTTTTATCTGAACTTCTCTTAAGTCTAAGTAGGTAAAGAAACATATCAGAGCAAGGTATAATTCCTTCAAGGAGCACTGGCTACCTCAGGGCATTTTCACTCTGCTTTCTCCTCATGAAGAAACAGAGTCTTAGACCATCAGCCTGATTGTACTGGGATGTATCCATCCTGCTAAAAGGAGAATGAGAAAGACAAATCTGTCCTTAGAAGAATGAGGATTTACATAATGAGAAATAAAAAAAAAATATCAGCAGAGCTCACCACTCACAAAGACTACCAATTTCAAAAATAGCTGAAGCTGAAAGGTGAATGTGCAATTTACAATGATGCCACCAGGAGATGTGGTTATCTATTTAGTCCAGGACTTCTCTAAATATGTAGTCCTGTACTTATGTAAATATAGTTCTTTTTAGTATTTTTAGTGTTTTTTTTTTATTTTGGTGGTGAGAGTGGGAAGGGAAAAGAGATAAAACATTCATTCATGAAAATGAAAATAGAAAGAAGCAGAGATTAAACTACACTTCTTTCCCCTCAAATTTTTCTTGATCTAAAAAAGGGATGCAATACTTTAGCAAGTATGGAAAATTTCCATAGATTCCTGGAGTTCTGACTTCAAATTAGCCAATTTTTGCTTTCATCAGGTAGGATGACTAGCTAGAAGCTAAACTCCAGTTAATCTGCTTTATGCCCCTGGCTTGCCACTTTTCAGAGGAAACTGAAGGATTAAAAGGACTTGAATAACATGTCCTTGGTAAAAAGACAATGATTAAGATGAGAAGAAAGGGAAGATGAGTGGGGAGAATGATATTGATGCAGAAACACACATACACTCTAAAGAGATGATGATAACCTGTTCTCAGTACTGCTATGGTCAGTCGCTATGAAGTTCACAGCAAATGGGGCAATAAAACTCGGAAGCCAGCCAGGTGGGCCTGGAACTTCTAAGAATCTCCAGAGTTATCTTGTGGTGATAAAAGTCTGTTCTTACTGTTGTTGTTGTTGTTAGTTATTAGCTATTTTATATTTTTTAGAAGTTATTTTGATTCTTTGGAGGTGGTGGTGAAATATGAAAAGGAGGGAGAGGAGGAAATGAACAAAGCTAAAATGCTGTGCAGATCCCCAGGATTCCACTAAGGGTTGGAGAAGTCTGAATTCTGAAGATAAGAGAAGAGAGAAATATTGGAGAGAATTGATGAACAATAATTAAAATGCATGGAGAAAGCAGTAGTTTAAACTATGCATCAGAGTTCAAAGAAGTGAAGGGTGAATAGATAATAGAGGAATGAAGAAAGAAGGACAAATTAGAGAAGGGGTGCCAAAGAAGGAAGAGACTCAGGAGGAATGAGGAAACTGGAGCTGAAATAAGAGGAGTAAAGAGAGAAGAAAATGAAAGATAATTAAGGGATGAGGAAAGAAGTGAAGAAGAGGGGAGAAGATAACATGGGCAGAAGCAGGGAGAAGAGGGGAAAGGAGGAAGGGAAGGGAACAAAGGAGACATGGAAAGGGGGTAAGAAGAAGGAAGGAATTTGTAGGAGGCAGAGGAGGAAAAGGAAAAGGGTGGAACAGAGAGAGTAGAGGAGGAGAAAGTGCCAGGGAGAGAAGATAGAGGGGGAGGAAAGGAGATGAAAAGGGGCAGACAAGGATATGAGTAAGGAATCAGGGGGAGGAGGAGAAAAAACACACTCTCATCTTGGCATTTTCCTGACACACACAGTTATACCTTTCAAAGAGCCTTAATAACAATGTCTCCACATGAAAGGCGATGGCAGATAGTTACTTCCTCCTCATCTCTCTTGAGTTGAAATTCTCATAGGCTAGAGGGATGGAAACAAATCAACAGTGAACACATTACATTTTCTCTTTTTCCAGAAAAAGAAAGGCAAGAATAGACAGTACAAGTTTACATTAGATAAGGTATGTTAAATGTAGAGTCAAGAAACAGGGAGAATTTTTGGATTTTGCAGTACTAACTTGGGCACTTGAATTGTCACTGCATTTAAAGGAAAGCTATCATCAAATTATTGTATTTGCATTCTGGAGAAATAACCCAGGTGATGTGGAGTGAACCATTTAACTGCCTTGTCTTTCCTGTAAGGTTTCTCATTCTCATTCTTCCATGAGGAGATAAGACTACTTGCATTTATAGGGAGCTCTTAGTTCCTAGAGAACCCAAATAAATTTCAGAAACTATGAATTTCTCTTCTGTTATTTCTCTGGGAAGATTTTGGACACAATATGGACAGTGACCTCTTGTTCAGCTAAATAAATATAAGTAATCTCTGGGGGCTCTGAGACAATGTCTAAGATGTCAGAACACAAGTGCCATGGCCAGGTGGGCACACAAAAATGGAGAAGAGAACAGTCTCCAGAATCAGAGATGAAATTTAGGAGACCCAAGGCATAGTGTAACTTTCCTTTGAGTTATGTAAAAAACATCTCTGATGAGCCTGAAGATCTAATATCTTCAGTTTACTTACTGCTGGGAGCAAGAAAATGTTGGAAAGGAAACAGGAGGAAATACAGACAGAAGAAAATGAAAGAGCAAGTAAGACACATTTGGTGGCTCACATGGCCCTCATCCCTCAAATTCCAACCCCTTCCTCCATTCCCCCGACCATGTAAAATGAATGAAACTTATTATTTTGGTCCCACCCTATCTGAGTTTTTGAGGATGGATAATCTATCGCGGTCTGGGCAGCTTAAACTCTAGGCACTGGGGGGTAGAGAAAGGAGGTTTCCACCTCTGGGGATGGAGGAGGACTGGGTAGCTCATCAAAATCTTTGAATCGTGGGAATTTGGGCACTCCAGGATTGGGATCCATCCTAGCAGGGTGGTTAGTGGGTGAGGCAGAGCTCAGTTGGCGGTGCTCCCCTCTCAGGCGGCTGATTCCATCTAGTAGCATCTTCTGGATATCCATTATGACCTTCTGAACTTCAATATGGAAGCTATCACTGAGCCAGCAATAGATGTAAGGGTTGTAGCATGAGCTGCTAATTGCAAGCCAGTGGAGGAAGAAGTAGAGACCATTGTGGCTTGAGATGGATTCACTAGAGAGCAGCACCAGATAGAGGTTGAGGGGAAGCCAGCAAATAGTGTAGACAAGCACCACCATCATTAGCATCTTCAGACTTTGCTTCTTCTTCCCACGCTGGCAAATGTAGGTGTGGATGTTGATGTCATCAACAGCATTATGGATCCACAGTTTTTTGGCCACATGACCATAGACAACCATCAGCACCATCAATGGCAAGATGAAGAAGAGCAAAAAGGTGCTCAGGTCAAGATATTTCCATGTGGATTTTGAAGTATAGGAGAAACTGGGGAGGCATACAGTTTCTTCAGTTATGTTTCTAGGTTATAAGACAGTCAGAGAAAGAGAAACATTAACTTACTTTCCCTTTTCCCTTAGCCCCATAGCCAGGTGTTATATGGCAGACAGGCCTTAAGGAAGAGACATATTTACTATTTGTGTGTGTGCTAGGGCTGAAGACTAGAATTATAAAGCAGGGAGTTTTAGTTTTCATCAATTCCAGACATCTCATATGATATATACAGAAACAATGGACCCCAAACAGAAAGTGGTATGCCTAACAACCCATTGTCATGAGAGCTCTTGAGTACTCTTAGTAAATTCCAGTTTAGAGAAATTTATTTTTGTACCCATGTTTTGAAATGTGCTATTCCAGCCCCTATCCCATTCCCCTTATTTCATGAGACTTTCAAGGTCATGGGTTGCTGAAATTCAGACACTGGCCATTCTGTGTTTCTCTTACCCAATCTCCACTTGGTAAAGCTTTTGGTAAATGGCATGTGGCAAAGCAGCACAGGTGCTCACAATCCAAATGATAATGATGCAAACATTGCCTTGCATTGGAGTAATTCGGGATTTCAGGGGATATAGCATGACCTGGAAGAAAAGACCCCAGCCCAATTAAACAATCTATATTAGGTTTACTTACTAGTCATTCTTCAACTGACATTCTTTTGCAAAAGTGCAAAGACTTGGTAGGTGGGTGAATAATGTACCTTGGGTACTAGCTCTGTTGACCCATAAGTGGTATTTTGTTTTATGAAAGAACAAAGTTGGTTAGTGTAGAAAGAAACACGTCAATGGGAAGATAGCAATCCAAGTGGACTGATTTCAAAGTTTCTGTCTCCCATTTAGGAGTTCAGTGGAGAAGAGGGATGGATGTTCAAAAGTGTAATGTATTTTTTCTTCGTCATATATTGATGGGCGAGCACTCCACATCCCTCCATCCTTTACCCCACTTGGTTCCCTTTATGTTCTTGATCTTTCGATGGTCAATCTTTCTTTCCTCCCTTCCGCTCTCCTCTCTTCCTATATGTCCTCTCCCATATTCCTTAATCTCCTATTACCTAGATTTCTCTATGGCCACCTCCATCTGGTTCCAGACACAACCCCTTCAATTTTCCTCTATGTTCTTCCCACTGTACTTGTTTCCTGGCTCCCTCCCAACTGATTAACAATATTTCATCTCTAGCCCTATCTCCTTCCTTTTAAGTCACTTCAATCCCTTCTCTCAACTTCTTCTTCCTCAATCTCTCAATTTCTTTCCATTTCATTTGCTCAGTTCTCCCTCACAGTTTTCAAGCCCACCTCCCAGACTCAACCCACCACCAGCCCTGAAGCCACACCCTGCTCTGACTCATTCTTTTCCTCTTTCTTCCCTTAGCCAGTCCTGCAATGCAGCAAATAAAAAATGTTTTCCATAACAACAACAAAAAAGAAAAAAAAAGAAAAAATATTTTCCAAAGGAGGAGGCCACTTTTTAAAAAATAATTTTCTTATTGCTCCATCTGTTTTCATAGCACCATATAAAAGATGATGGTATTTTTGTTACATAAGATTTGATATGGCAAAAGTCTGTAATTCACACTTTGCAATCCTCCTAATACATACATACATATGTGTGTGTGTGTATTCTCTCTCTCTCTCTCTATATATATATCTATATCTATATCTAAGTGAGGAACTTAGCAGAGTATGTGCTTCATCTAGATCAGCCGTGGGCAAACTACAGCCGGCGGGGCGGGGGCGGG